ACTTTCAACATCATCAACAATATCATCAAAAAATCATACACAAAGAGAGAGACACACATATACATACATACTTACATGTATACATTCATACAGAGAGAGATACACACATACATTATACATACACACAGAGACACACACACACAGAGGACGATAGAGATCGGGGAAGATCGGCTGATCGGTGGCGACGATAGAGGAGATCAACACAGATTCGAGATCCCTGTGTGATTGCGACGACGGTGACTCGACGGACAGGAAGACAGAGGGCAACGATGGAGGTGAAGCGGACGGCGGAGTTGACGGATGTGAAGCGACGGTGCGAGGTGGACAGCGACTCCGGCGTTGTGGACAGTGGTGACTGCGCTGAGGAGATGGAGATGAGAGGTGCAAGAGTGAGAGAGTGAGAGACAGAGGCAGAATAGAACATACGTAGGGGTTATAACTTATAAGGGGTATATATAGTAAGTTTATTTCGGGAGGCTAACGGGGACGAGGTTCGGGCCGGGGGTGAAAAACATATCACCGTTCCCGGCCCGAAAATGATCAGGAATTTATTTTTGAGTACCATTCCCGGCCCGTTGGGAATATTTTTCGGGAAAAATTGCTCTAATCGGGGTCGGGGGGTCAGGTCCCCGTCGGCCGGTTTCAAATTGCTATCCCTAGATCCATGATGGGTCTCCTCAAAACCTCATGGAAACCAAATTTAACCCCAAATTAAGAAAATTCAAAGATGACCCATTACTGAAAACACCTTCCCCAGTAAACAACTTCAATGAAATTATGTAGTAGACACTAACAAATGATACACACAAACTTAAAAAAAACAAAGAAACATATAGTTAATAAATACAGATTATGTGGACTCTTGTGGAGTTAGCAATTGAATCACCATCAATGAAGAAAAAATACGAAAAGCCACAAAACAAGTGTGTGCACACCCTCATCAGATTATGTGGGAGGTGAGATGATAATTTTGTTGAAGGATAAAATTATGATTCTGAAAAAAATTCATTAAGTGTGTGGAGTAAGGAAACTTGGTGTATGAAAATAGAATTTCTCGATAAATAGACAGATACGTAAGTTTTGAATAGATAAGTGTCCTTTTAGACTTATCTGTTACCCAAAAGACAACCTAAGAGGGGGTGAATTAGGTTTTTACAAATAAAATAATAATACCCTAATAAAAATTATGACTAGCACAATAGATAAATATAGTAAATCAAATAAAAATAATTAAAACAAGTGTTCTAACAACTATGTCAAATAATGATTTTAGCACAATAAAAATATGAAATATAGTTATGACAATTTAAATAAAATAAAGAGATAAGGGAGAGAGAGGCAAACAAATTTATTGTGATTCGGCTTCAACTTGGCCTACGTCCACTCCTAAAGCTTTACTTGAGATTTTTCACTATTCTCTAGCTTCATAAGGTGCTAGCAACATTTTCACAAATGGAGCAATCCTCCACAGATTTTACACTGATTTTCTAAATCAAGAACATTGAGTGTACTACACTCTTATAAGATTGAAAATAAGGTGTTTTTGCTTTCACAGAAAGCTACAAGAATTATCTTTCAAAGATAGATATAAAAATGAAACTCTGATTTTTCTGTAAACCTCACACATGAAAGATGAGCTTAAAGCTATACGTCTCAGTGTATAATTTCTGAAAGAGGATGTAAACAAAAATTGAAGAACACTTCTTAGAGAATTTTTTCAGAGAATAGATGTGAGTGATTATAGATTAAAGAATATTTTCTGATTTTATTCTCTTGGTTTTTTTTTTTTTTTTTTTTTTTTTTTTTTGTAACTTGTTTACATTAGAGACTTTGGTATATATAATGAAACTTATAGTCGTTTATAGCCGTTGTATTCATTTGAATATCTTCCACTCCATCATTACTAATTTGAATATCTTCCACTTGAATTTTTTGGCCTGCTGCTGTGTTGAGCTGTTTGAACCTTTGTTTTTGGTTGTTTGAACCTCTGGTTTGGGCATTATTTTTGGGTTGAAATGAACTCCTGATTTAAGCAAATATTAAATACATTCAAATAATATTTAGGATAAAATTTAGGTGAGAAATAATATGACAAAATAAATTTTGATTCTATTTTTCTTTTTTAAATAAATTAAAATATAATTTAAATAAATCATCAAAATAAATTTTGAATTCTATTAAAACATAATTAAATAAATCATCAAAATAAATTTTGGATTCTATTTTTCTTTTTCAAATAAATTAAAATATAATTAAATAAATTATCAAAATAAATTTTGGATTATATTTTTCTCTTTTAAATAAATTAAATAAATCATCAAAATAAATAAGTTTAACATTATCCATATCCCTTTTGATAAAAAAAATATTTAAGTTTAGGTTGATTGGCCTAGAAATTTTAGAAATAAGTATCTAGCCATAGGCCATTTTTTTAAATCTATTTTTTGCTTCTTTTTTTTTTTTCTCTCTTAAAAATGCAAACTAGTTTGGCGAAAAATAAACATCATAAAAATGTTCTATAATTTTTAAAATTATTTTTCTGCAAAAAAGTGAAAAATCATATGAAATAATCAATATTTTTTATTTTTCATTATTTTTCAGATGATTTTTTGAATAGAAACAAAGTTTTAAAATTTCAATCAAACATGTAAATCCTTTCTCATCTAAATGTTGATCCGTAAATATGACTAGTTTTTAATGCAGCAAATGAAAGAAAAAAAATGCAATAACACACAAAAGATTGTAAGATTTTGTTAACCTCAACCTTTATAGCATGTGGTAAAAAAATTTAAAAGATGAGTATTGTTACATATATTTTGTATTTATATTATATTTTAATATGGAATAAATAAATATGAAAGGAAAAATGCTTGGGAGCACTAATTAGTGCTCCCACTAATTAGGTGGCAGTGGATTCCGTCATTAATGATGTGATGTTTCAGTCTTGGAGTTGTATTTTTTTTTATTTTTTTTTTACTTTTTTAATGCATTAGTGCTATTAGTGGTGATATTTTTAGTGGGATGAATCATTGTTGATATGAAAGTAACAGCAATGCTATATCCCACTAAAAGTGGTGCTCTAAAGCACCACTAATGAGTTGGCACCCACTTTTTTAAAAAAAAAAAAAAAAACCAAGGCACAAAAACATTGTGGCAGTGGGTCCCACCCACTGCCACATCATTAGTGGTAGTACTAATTAGTGCTCCCACTCATTTTCCTGAAAGTAATTGTAATAAAAATTATACAATTATTGTAATTTTTTCTCTTTATGGTTAGGTTCATTTCAAATTCAAATATAAATTTTAGAAAACTTGAAAGGCTAGTGAGACTCATCATAGGTCTCATTTTTATTATTTAAACTGTTCATTTTATTGAACACTCATTTTATATTATTAATATAAAAATTTAGGTCGAATATAATAATTGTAACACTTTCATTTTATTATATTTTGTTTTTTTTCGTTTTTATTATTTTTTTTTAAAAGATATGAATAGTTTTTCACTCTTGACTTCTATTCAACTAGATGGACGAGAGAAATAAAATAAAAATTTGAAAACAACTTTAGAAAGAACAAAATAAAAAATAGTTAATTTTCTTGCAGATCATGGTGGGACCTATTTAATAGAATTTCCTTTCTTTTTGTAGATCACGGTCGATGATACCAAGCTTTTAAAACGAGACAGTTAGCGAATAGTGATGATACCGACCTTTTAGGCTTCGTTTGGGAAGCATGGAATTGAGGGTTTTTTTTTATTTTTTATTTTTTTTTATTTTAATCACAAAAAATAAAATAAATTTTTTTAATTTAATAAGATAAAATATCACATCTAATTTATAATTATTACATTCTTTCTCTTACAAAACAGTTAAAAAAAGCCCAAAAGAAAAATCAAAAGTCCTTCCTAAACGAGACTTTTTAACCCAGACTAAAATAGTCAAAAAGTGAAAAAGTCAACCCATTTTCCAAACAAACCCAAAGTGAGACAGTTAGCACAAACATCGTAATCATACCGACTTTTTAATAGTAGAGTACAAAGGATCCTTTGTTCCCAAATAATCATGTCTCCTGGTCCCAATTCACTTACTCATTGTCATTGGATCATATGAAAATTCCAAGACATAAAAATCTCAAAACATATCTAATAATTATGAATAATTTGGGACATGAGACGGAGCTATTTGGGAATAGAAGATCCTTTACACTATTATTAAAAGCTTGGTATCACCACGTTGTTTTGTGCTAACTGTGATGTTTGTGCTAACTATTTCATTTTAGGTTCGTTTGGAAAGTGGGTTAGTTTTTTTTATTTTTGATTTTTTTGACTATTTTAACCTGAAATTAAAAAGTCTCGTTTGGAAAAGACTTTTGATTTTTTTTTTTGAACTTTTTTATAATAAAAAAATGTAATGATTATAGGTTAGATATGATATTTTATCTTATTGAGTTAAAAAATTTATTTTATTTTTTGTGACTATAATAATAAAAAAAAAACCCCAATCCATCCTTCCCAAACGAAGCCTTGTTAACTGTCTCATTTTAAAAGCTCGGTATATCACCGTGATCTACAAAAAGAAAGGAAATTCCATTAAATAGGTCCCACCATCGTATCACCGTGAAAAGATATGAAAAATGTCCACCATGATAATGTTTTGTGCTAACTGTTTCATTGTAAACCATGTAATTTGGGTCCTTGGTGCTAAATTAGAATATAACATTGAGTTTTCAGTGAAACAAATTGAACACAAAAAATACAAGAAACAAAAAAGAATTCAAATTAAAACATGAAAATTCAACGGCAAACACAAGAAATCTAAAAAATAGATCTAAAATTTGAATCAAGAGTTCATAATTGGATGTTATCAACTAAAACCCAACTGACAGACCCAAGGAGAGAGAGATAGACAAAACCCATCATCTAATTTCCATAGACAAATGAGAAAAATAGTAAAAATAATAATAATAATAATAAAATAAATGTGTTTGGAAGCCGAGAAAAATGAGGGAAATTCTACTATTTAGAAGTTCAAAGAGGTAGTCATACAATGTAATACAAAAGCTAAAATAGAAAATAAAGAAATCGATCAACCGATCTCTCGATCAACCATCTCTATATATATATTACATATATGTTCTTCTTGATTGATGAAAATGGGAAAATCACTATAAGGAATTCTGGGTTTGATTAGAGCCATAGAAATCGACGAGTTTGAGAAGAACAATGTAGTCGGTGGTTTCTTGGAAGAGCTGGTCGGCCTTTCTCTCTTGGTCGTGGGTGGGTATGAGGCTTTTTAGAGCTTCCAATTTCTCATAAACTGAAGAATATGATTCGACTTTGATGAGTGTTGTTGAGTTCTCTTTCTCGTCCTTCTCATGGGCTGGACATGGCGTTCTTTTGCCTTGAGCTCGTAGAGACAGAGAAGACAGAGACATAGAGAAGAGAGAGAGAGAGAGAGAGCGCTGTAATGAGGCTGAAAAGCAAAATAAGAAAATAAAATAAAAAATAAAAAAAAGGTCCAAAATGGGGTCGTTTTGAACCACGGCAGGAAAGTACGGCAGATGATCCTGACTCGTAAAGGATCTAGGCAGAGATGTCAATCCAGACATGACTTTTGGAAATTTATCTTGGTAGCTTCCTTCACAATCACCACATTTCTCTTAATAATCCCATTTTGAATACAGAGATGGTAACCCAGTCCCCACTGCCTTCTTCAAAGGTCTCCCAACAGCATTCCAAGATTTTGTTGTGTGCCTCGTCTTCTCCTTTTCTGGTTCGTTGAGTGCGTTGCTAATCCGTGACACGTCCTTGCTTGCTAGGTTCTGTGAGTATTATTCCATGACTTCCATGGCATCTGCTCTCTCTCTCTCTCTCTCTCTCTCTCTCTCTTTCTTGCTTTACACCATGTTTGGGATATGGATGTCCCAGTCTGCATAAAAACAATGGTTTATTTCTAAACTTAACAAAAACACAACAAACACAGACAGTAAATTAACAGAGACTTAGTTTTTCATACAGACTGGGACATCCATACCTGCCCAAACATGGTCGAAATAAAAGCTTGATATTGATCTCCATGATGGAACACAGCACCCTGTATTCCTAAACTTAACAAAAACAAACACAGACAGTAAATTAACAAAGACTTAGTTTTTCATGCTGACTGGTACATCCATAGCCCAAACATGGTGCAAAGCAAGAGAGAGAGAGAGAGAAGATGCCATGGAAGCCATGAAAGAGTACTCACAGAACTTAGCAAGCAATGACGTGTCACGGATTAGCAACGCACTCAACGAACCAGAAAAGGAGAAGACGAGGCACACAACAAAATCTTGGAATGCTGTTGGGAGACCTTTGAAGAAGGCAGTGGGGACTGGGTTACCATCTCTGTATTCAGATGGGATTATTAAGAGAAGTGTGGTATTGTGAAGGAAGCTACCAAGATAAATTCCAAAACTCTTGTCCGTGACATCCATAGCCCCTTAAACATGGTGCAAAGCAAGAGAGAGACAGCAGATGTCATGGAAGCCATGGAAGAGTACCCACAGAACTTAGCAAGCAAGGACGTGTCACGGATTAGCAACGCACTCAACGAACCAGAAAAGGATATGACAGTTGGAACTGGGTTGCCATCTATGTATTCAAATGGGATTATTAAGAGAAGACGAGGCACACAACAAAAGCTTGGAATGTTGTTGGGAGGCCTTTGAAGAAGACAGTGGGGACTGGGTTGCCATCTATGTATTAAAATGGGATAATTAAGAGAAGTGTGGTGATTGTGAAGGAAGCTACCGAGATAAATTTCCAAAACTCTTGCCTGGATTGGTGGGATGGAGCTCAATTTTGAGTCATCTCTTCGATTTGCAAGAGAGAGACAGCAGATGTCATGGAAGCCATGGAAGAGTACCCACAGAACTTAGGAAGCAAGGACTTGTCACGGATTAGCAACGCACTCAACGAACCAGAAAAGGATATGACAGTTGGAACTGGGTTGCCATCTATGTATTCAAATGGGATTATTAAGAGAAGACGAGGCACACAACAAAAGCTTGGAATGTTGTTGGGAGGCCTTTGAAGAAGACAGTGGGGACTGGGTTGCCATCTATGTATTAAAATGGGATAATTAAGAGAAGTGTGGTGATTGTGAAGGAAGCTACCAAGATAAATTTCCAAAACTCTTGCCTGGATTGGTGGGATGGATCTCAATTTTGAGTCATCTCTTCGATTATTTGGAAGAAAAACAGATGCCATCTCTGCCTAGATTCATACATGGGCTTATTTTGAAATTATGCTCTGCACTACATATTTTTATACCGTTTAAAACTAAAAAATAAATAATAAATAATAAATAATTTAACGGGTATAGCGTGATATGATAAGGGTTAACTATTAATTTATCATATATTTATTTGTTTGACAGTGGGGACTGGGTTATTATCTATGTATTCAAATGGGATAATTAAGAGAAGTATGGTGATTGTGAGGAAGCTACCAAGATAAATTCCAAAACTCTTGTCTGGATTGGTGGGATGGAGCTCACTTTTGAGTCATCTCTTCGATTTGCAAGAGAGAGACAGCAGATGTCATGGAAGCCATGGAAGAGTACCCACAGAACTTAGGAAGCAAGGACGTGTCACGGATTAGCAACGCACTCAACGAACCAGAAAAGGATATGACAGTTGGAACTGGGTTGCCATCTATGTGTTCAAATGGGATTATTAATAGAAGACGAGGCACACAACAAAAGCTTGGAATGGGAGGCCTTTGAAGAAGACAGTGGGGACTGGGTTACCATCTATGTATTCAAATGGGATAATTAAGAGAAGTGTGGTGATTGTGAAGGAAGCTACCAAGATAAATTCCAACACTCGTGTCTGGATTGGTGGTTCGATTTGGAAGAAAAACAGATGCCATCTCTGCCTAGATTCATACATGGGCTTATTTTGAAATTATGTTCTGCACTACATATTTTTATACCGTTTAAAACTAAAAAATAAATAATAAATAATAAATAATTTAACGGGTATAGCGTGATATGATAAGGGTTAACTATTAATTTATCATATATTTATTTGTTTGACAGTGGGGACTGGGTTATTATCTATGTATTCAAATGGGATAATTAAGAGAAGTATGGTGATTGTGAGGAAGCTACCAAGATAAATTCCAAAACTCTTGTCTGGATTGGTGGGATGGAGCTCACTTTTGAGTCATCTCTTCGATTTGCAAGAAACACATATGCCACCTCTGCCTAGATCCTTCACCTTTTATTTTGAAGCGGCGGACTAGAATTGTTAAATTTGGTGAAGCGAAGCATGTGGTGGGACCTATTATAATATTTTGAGAAAATGTAGGGATCATGAAAATGATCATGAAAGATTTATGATCCTTGAATTACCTTAATTAATGTGTGGTGCTTTATTCTAAGTGTAATTTAAGGGTCACAAAGCTTTCATGATTATTTTCATAAAAAGTTTCTCATGATACCTAGGATTGCTGTAATATTTTTATCATGGTGGGACCTATTATAATAGAGGTTGCTATCCATGAAGTTTTTTGTACAAAAATTTTGTTAGTATATCATTAAATATAAAGTATTCAGATATATATTAATAATAAAGCTGGGGTTCATTGCCTTTAATAAATAAAAAAGTCAGGAATTTTAAAAAAATTATAAATTTTTTTTATGCGATACTTAAATAAGTGTAAGACTTGCATTGTGTAGAATTTTGTGTAGAATCGTGTAAGACTTGCATTGTGTAGACTTGCATTGTAGACTTGCATTGTGTAGACTTGCATCATAAGTGTAAGACTTGCATTGTGTAGACTTGCATTGCATTGTGGCATTGTGTAGACTTGCATTGTAGACTTGCATTGTGTAGACTTGCATTGTAGACTTGCATTTAAATAATATGGTAAATTATAAATATATATTTTAAAATTTGTTTAAAATATAAATTGTCTCATATGATTTTAGAAATTATATCTTGTCTTTTCAAATTTCCAATCGCATAATCATGGACCCTTTTATTAATAGAGAAATGTTAGGGATCATAAATTTTTTTTTATGAAAATGATCATGAAAGATTTGTGATCCTTAGATTACCTTGATTAGTGTAAGGTGCTTTATTGTAAGTGTAATCCAAATGTCACAAATCTTTCATGATGATTTTCATGAAAATTTTTTCATGATACCTAGTATTGCTGTTATTAATAAATCATCAAGTAATTAGCAATTTTTAAAAATGTCACAAATATGTTTCAATTAACAATTCATGTAATTTTATTATTGTCTAGAAAAATAGTTAGAAATTTTATTTTTTTCTACTAATTCTTTTAAATAACTTTTTTGATAAAAGAATATTTTTAATTTTTAAAATCATAAAGGATAATCCGTGATTTAAGTAAATTTTAAGTAGTTATTTATAATTTACCCTAAAAAACATATAGTTGGAAAGTGATGTGCTACACACTTTCCGTAATTGCTGTCTCTCACCTCTTTCGTTTTTTTTTTTTTAAATGGCAAATATAACTTTGGGTTTTGTTAAGAGACATGTTAAGAAAATGTTAGGTTTTTTTTTTTTTTTTGAAATTTAAATATGAATTTGAAAGAAATTGAGAAGTTCGTGAAGTTGACTACAGGCCATGTTTTAATAATTAAAATTGTTCATTTTACAAGACTCAATATATATTAGCCATAGAAAAAATTTATATTGATACAATACTCGTAACTTATTGAATACAAACACGATAAAATGAAAGTGTTACGATTATTAGATCTAGCCTAAATTTTTACATTAATAATATAAAATGAGTGCTCTATAAAATGAATAATTTAAATAATAAAAATAGGACCTATGGTGAGTCTCACTAGCCTTTCAAATTTTTTAAAATTTATATTTGAATTTGAAATAAACCTAACCATCAAGAGAAAAAAGTACAATAATTGAATAATTTTTTATTACAATTACTTTTATATGTATTTATATCATATTAAAATGTAATATAAATATAATTTTTATTACAATTACTTTCATATGTATTTATACCATATTAAAATGTAATATAAATACATAATATATGTAACATTACTCATCTTTTAAATTTTTTTACCATATACTATAAAGGTTGAGGTTAACAAAATCTTACAATCTTTTATGTGTTATTGCATTTTTTTTCTTTCATTTGTTGCATTAAAAACTAGTTGTTATCCAAAAGACAACCTAAGAGGGGGGTGAATTAGGTTTTTATAATTAAAATTAATAATACCCTAATAAAAATTATGACTAGCATAATATAGATAAATATAATTAATGAAATAAAAATAATTAAAATAAGTATCTTAACAACTATATTAGTTAATGATTTTAGCACAGTAAAAATGTAAACTATAGCCATGGCAATTTAAAATAAAATAAAGAGATAAGGGAGAGAGAGGCAAACAAATTTATAGTGGTTCGGCTTCAACTCGGCCTACGTCCACTCATCAAGCTTCATTTGAAATTTTCCATTATACTCTAGCTTCACAAGGTGCTAGCAACCTTTTCATAGATGAAGCAATCCTCCACAGATTTTACACTGACTTTCTAAGTCAAGAACATTGAGTGTACTACACTCTTACAAGGTTGAAAATAAGGTATTTTTGCTTTCACAGAAAGTTACATGAATTATCTCTTAAAGATAGATATAAAAATGAAGCTCTGGTTTTTCTGTAAACCTCACACAGAAAAGATTGGCTTAAAGCTATAAGGCTCAGTGTATAATTTCTGAGAATAGATGTGAGTGATTATAGATCAAAGAATATTTTCAAGTTTTTGTAACTTGTTTACATTAGATGCTTAGGTATATATAATGAAACTTATAGTCGTTTATAGCCGTTGTATTCATTTGAATTTATAACCGTTTATAGCCGTTGTATTCATTTGAATTTATAGCCGTTGTACTCCATCATTACTAATTTGAATATCTTCCACTCCATCATTACAAATTTGAATATCTTCCACTTGAACCTTTTGAACTGCTGTTGTGCTAGGCTGTTTAAACCTATGTTTTGAGCTATTTGAACTCCTGATTTAATCAAATATTAAATACATTCTAACAACATTTAGGATAAAGGTTTAGGTGAGAAATAATGGGACAAAATAAATTTTGATTCTATTTTTCTCTTTCAAATAAATCATCAAAATAAATTTTAATTTTCTTTTTCTTTTCCAAATAAATTAAAAACATAATTAAATAAATAAGTCTAACAATCTCCCCCTTTTTGATGATGGCACAAAATGATATTTTGATTTGATTTGGGAGTAAGAAAAGCTCTCCCTTAAGTCATACTCCCTGAATTCATTTTTAAAAACATAGGTTAGCACATGTGTAATAAATAAGCTTTAATTAGAGACATGATATGAAACTAAGATATCAAACTATAAATACATAATAATCAGATTAGTTTTCAAATAATACCATAATACATAACATCATATAATTTCTCCTCTTGTGACATTATCAAAAAGAAATCATGAGTCAGAATCTGGAGGAGGAGAAGGAAAATAATAGTGATAAATTGGCATCAAAAAATAGATAATCAAAACATATATATACATATATTTATATATATATATGAATCACCCGTGCCTCTCTTTTTCGTTGAAAATCGCGTCGAACACGCCGTCTCGCTTTTGCGTCAACCGATCGACAAAAGCAGCTCTCATTGATTGCCGCTCGCTTCGGCTATCTTTCCCTCCTTGTCTTCTTCTCTTCAGCCTCTTCACTTCAGCTTTCTTCTTAATCACACTCATCTGTTTCTTCTTCTTCACCTCACTCTCTTCTATCTTTTCTTCTTTCTCTTCTTCACCACTTTCTTCTGTTCTTCTTCCTCAACGAGAGACAAAAAAACTGAACGGAGGAGGCCAAACATCAGTCTGTTCTCTTCTATTTCTCTGCAACTCATTTCCTTTACACCTCTCACCTCTAAACCATGGCTTCCTTATCCCGTCCCCTCACTTTATTTCAGGACCTGAACGATTCCATAAGCTTTGCGGGACCGAGTGTCTCTACTCTTACTCTTCTTGTCATTCCTCTTCCTAACCTTCATATGATGTCGATTGAGCAAATCATGGTAGCTCAATCTGACATAGAAGCCAATCATTTCACACTGACATCCTGTATGGAGACGGTGATAGCAGTCACAAAATTGGCTTACCGATTGCAGAATAGGACAAGTGAGCTCCATCAGGTCAACGCCGAACTCTCTCTACTCCAGCGCATGTAC